GAGCCCCAGGAAGTTTTAAAAATCTATAGGAAGGGATGTACAGATTTCCTGATTAGGAAAGAAGCCCTCCCTAAGGTTTCTCTGTGGAAGGAAGGGCTTGGCTCACGTGTTTTCCAGAGCTTTGTTGAATCCCAGTTGCAGGCACAGGACCAGGAGCAGGGCAGCAGGGCCAGCCCTGAGTGGCAGCTGGAGAGAGCGCATGCTGAAGGAGGCAGAAGGTGACTTCCCAGAGGAGTGGTGATCCTGGTGTCCRGCACACTTCTTATATGTAAATCAAGGAAGAGGAGGAGCTGTCAGGTAGGTSCACGAAGTGATTCACCCAATCCTACTCCCTACTCATGATCTTTCCTTGTTGAGCTGAACTTTGTTTGTCTTCYTTATTTTCTCAGTATCAGAGCTTCTCAGAATGGCGCTTGCCTGGCTTAAGGACATGGTTCTGTCCCTTCAGGGTCTGCAGTGAGGTGTAGCCCCTGGCCCATCCCTRCTCTCTTGTTCTCTGCAGGCAGAGATCCAACTGTGCTGGCGGAGTCCGGGCCACTAAAATAGAGCACATGGGCTTGAGTACTCTTCTATTAGGTTCAAGAGTAGATGTYATCCAAACAGTGTCTTGGAGTGATAGGGTGATCAGGGCTTGCTAGGGACCACCAGCACTCACATAGAATGAGAACTAGGGAAGAGGGAGACTGCTCTGGGGGATAGAAAAGTGCCACCAGATTAAGTTCAKGGAAGGGTAGGTGGGGAGTGGTCCATATAAAGATGTCTTGTGATTTTTAATTCCTTCTGAATTTCAGGTGTAGTGGTAAATGCTACAGATGACCAAGATCTCAGATGCCCCAAAATCCTCAGTGCAGGAGACTAATAAACYTTGTCATTTGATACAATTCCTGAACATTTGGCAGTTAGCATTCCCAAACAGACTGTTTGGCATCAAGGTATCTGTTTGTTTCCATATTGACTTGGCACTTTCTCACACTTGTCTTGTGGCATAAAACACACAGGAAGAGATAATGGAAAGGACTTCCTCCTCTGGAACAACCCATGTCAGGGGAAGCCCTGGCCAAAGTGTTCTTCCCAATGGATGATGGGGAGACTCTCTTACTGACAGTGGCACTTTGTTATTTCTCTTTAATCAATTAGATCCTTACTTTAGTCTATAATTTATGAATTGTGCTATTTGCTCCTATCCTCCACATTACAGGAGCCCAGGAATATCCTTTTGGGCACAGGAGTGAAAATCCCCATTCTAGGAGTTATCTGCATATGTTGCTACAGCTGGCATTCAGAATTGAAGTCTGAATTCCAGTTTCTGGATGTCTTTTAAAAGTTTCTCTGTCYTGCTTGCTGAGCTCCTGTGCCTCCCTCCACATTCTTGAACTGGGAATGGTTGATGTCATTCTTCATTGGTAACTGCAGCTCTTGTTGTGATTGCATGCTTTCTTTGTTCCTGTTCCCTGAACTCAAGGTGGAACTTCATTACACCTTGCCCTGGTCACAGTGACCTTCCTTCATGAACATTCTTTTATGTCTTCATTTTCTTTACACTGTATCTTCTCTTACTTGTTTGAATAATTTCCACCAGAATGACATATGTGGGCCATTAGATGTGATGCAACAAGCCACAAGTCACTATAGCCTAATTTCCTCAACTACCACCCTCACTGCCTAGGTCTGGGTGGAGATACCTGCATCCTGCATATCCTGTAGGAYGGTGTTTTCTTATACATTTTACTGAGTTTAACTTATCGGAGAGTGGGCAAATCCACCATGCCAAAATCCACGTGTCCTCAGTGTGTTGCACAAGGGACATAGGGGTATCAGCATTCATGGGCTTGAGTACATTTGGAAACATTGGTGTTTCAGAAGCCAGGTAGAATCTAAATAGCTTTTCAGTTCTGTAGATGATATGTAGCAGTGTTTTAATGAGCTTTATGGCAAAAGTTGCCCATGCAATGGTTAGGGTATCCAATCTAACAGGGGACTCTTAGGGGGAAATTGTAAACTAGTCACTGTGCAATGAACAATGGACTAGTCGATTAGATTTAGGAGACCAAATAGAGATTGAAAAATTAGGTTGTAAACAACTCAGGAGGCTTATAGAAGAGATGTGCACCAGGATAAAAGGAAGGGATTAAGGATTATGGATTAAGAAGAAACTTGTCACAGGCTCAAATTGCAAAAAGAAAGATGATCGTAGACTTGACAGGCCTCAAGAAAGTGCAAGGTGAGGAATGGCCCCAAAAGGGAGTTAGGTAGCCAACACATTTGGAGGATGTGGCACGTACATCACACCATTCTAAACATTTCAGATGCATTAACTCACTGATCCCCATAACAACTCTGTAAAGTAGGCTGCTATTTTTCATTCCATTTTACAAATGGGGAAACTGAGGAAAGAAGAGATAAGTGTCTAGCTTATGTCATAGAGCCAGTAACTGGTGAAACCAACTTTGGAAACAGATTTTGTGATATCTGAGTATTTTATCTGCATTCATGGGGAACGATTTCAGAAATGGAATATAAACTTACAAATATAAAAAACAAGTTGAGGATCCTAAATAGGTGCCTGAAAGTAAGGAGCCCTTCCATTTTACATTATTAACTTAATGGTGAACACACTGATAGATGGAGCCAGGTTCAACACAGGCAGCCTAGCTCTAGAACCTGAGATTTGAACCACAACACTGTCTATAGGTGAGAACTAGATGCAAAATTAGTAGGTGACAAAAGCATGTTTCAAAATCAAGTAGTCTGATACCAGTGTTTATGTCCTAAGAGTATTTGTCCTGTTTCTTGGTGAAAGGATGTTTTAAAGTTGAGGAAGGGAAACTCACTGAGGTTTTTATAACTTTTTAAAATTGCAGCCAACAAATAACAAAGGTGTTATTGAAATCAGATAGAAGGGACCCACAGTTGGCACTTAGAAAGCCTTCACTTCCTCTTAATGAGTGGACGCTTGAGTGCTGTAGGATTTATACAGGGGTATTGAACTTGTACTGAAGAGGCAATGACTGAGGATACAATGAATTGCTCACCAGAGGAGGTCACTTTTGAGGCCAGCTGAGGTGTGTGTGTGTGTGTGTTTTTGTGTGTGCAACAGCAATGCTTCTTGCCTTAATGGATTAATACTGAAATCTTAGTGACTTAATTCAACAGAAGTTTATTTGTAGCTCACATAAAATCTATCAGAGAGATAGGGGTGGGAGTGTACCTCTGCTTAGAAACTTGTCATCATTAGTGTCATTTCTAAGGTCACTTTAGGCATTAGTATCTGGCTGTCAAAAGGTGACAGAATGGAGAACTACCGAAGGTGTTTGTATGGGCACGATTTGGAAGTGGCTCATGGCATTCATCCTGTATCCCCACAGCCAAAGTCACATGTCCACACCAACCTGTGAGACTGGGAACTTCAGACTCCCTGTGGCCCAGGAACAGGGAAAACTGGTTAGTGAAGTTTCCCGTTACCACCTGTGCACAGTATGTGAATAGTCATTTTTAGAAGAAAGCAATAAATTGTTTTCACCAATGTGTGACACTATATTGTGGCTTTTCTGCTGGATCTGTACTGAAATTTATTATGATTTTACTTTTACTTTTTGTGATAATTAAAGGTATTTGCTCTTTTTTATATTTTTATAATTTTACAATAAAATTATTAAGTTTTTATTATAAAATTATAATTTTATAATCAAAATAAATTTTATTATAAATAATTTTGTAATTAAAATTATAATTTTATAATAAATTTTATATTTTATATAATTTTATAATAAAAATTACATATGGGGCTGGGGATGTAACTCAGTGGCACAATGCTTGCCTAACATTGTAATCCCCTGGTTTCAATCCTCAGCATTGCAAAAAAATTTTTAATTATGACATCTGCTAAAGTAATTTTTTCATATCGATTCTTCTTTAAGATCCTCTTATCCTTATTGTTGGTTCTGTGATCTCATGTGTATTTAAAATGAGCCTATAAATTTTGCAAAGAATAAAAGTTGGTATTTTTTGGAATTACATTGATTCTATAGTGTGGGAAAACTTAGCACATCCTTTAGTTTACAAGCTAGACATACTATATTTTTTGCTTCAGTCTTCTTCTTTAGTTTCTCCCAATAACATTTTCTGTGAAAAATATTTTTTAGATTTATTTTTAGGTGATTGACATTTCATGCCACTATGAATTTTAAGACTTAATTTCATGTTCTAATAGTTTGTTATTTATATGCAGAAATATAATTGTTTTTATAAATAGATCGTGCGTTCAGAAATCTTTCAAATATGCTGGGTGCAGTGGCACACACCTGTAAAATCAGTGGCTTGGGAGGCTGAGGCAGGAGGATCACAAGTTCAAAGCCAGCCTCAGCAACAGGGAGGCACTAAACAACTCAGTGAGACCCTGTCTCTAAATAAAATACAAAATAGGGCTGGGGATATAGTTCAGTGGTATAGTGCCCCTGAGTCCAATCCCCAATACCCGCCCCCAAACAAAAAGGGAAAAAATTTAAAAAGAAATCTTGCAAATACTTGTGTTCTTCATAATTTTTATTGATTCTTTTCAATTTCAACAAACACAAATATATCACTTATTAAACGGCTCCTACTCCTGCTGTATCAATGTACACAAGTTGTTCGTCACCCACCCC